GTACTTCTACAAAACGTATAATAAGAGAGATATAACAGATAAAGCGAGAGGGAAGAGAGAGAGACAGGGAGAGAGAGGAGAGGGGGGGGGGGGGGGAGAGGGGTAAAGAGAACAATAAATTGTTGATGCCCTAAAATATCACAACTTTGCATTATTTGGCATAGCCTACTCAGAATACCATCATTTCAGTTTTTTAATGATATTTGTTTAAATGTATATCATATTTGTAATTCTAATTCAAAGTCTAAGCATTATTTGCGGTAACCAGTTTGGATTTTAAAATGACAATAGGTTGAAAATAAGATGTTTTCATTTTTGATGTTCATGGAGATTAGATCAAATGTCTGAGCAGCAGAAATACAAAAATTATTACTGGGGTTTTATCGCTATCATCGTTTAAATCTCGAGAAATTGTCCGTATTTTTGGAACGAGCAAAGACAAGCGTATTCAGTTCTAACTCACGCAGATAACGGTCTTATAAAAAGACTTCTTTCTGATTTAATCACAAATTACTAGCGATATGTTTTCCGCTAAAGTAATTTCCGAATAAAATGTATATATAACCATTAATAACAAATATGTCACAAACGAGGCCTTTGTTTTATTTGATAATGATTGATGAAAAGCAAACTTAATTACGGTTTCTGATTTTGAGTTCCTACGTTACAATCAGCATCTTGCGGAAGACTCCTCTCTTTTTCAATCTCGTGTAGAACCTCGCAATTTTTTCGCAGTGAGCTGAGCAAATATAACACAAAGAATATATTGCAGCTATTATGTTTATAGTTCCAAAGGGATTTGTGTCCCCGGTGATCAATCGATTAAACCTAACAGAGAATTGGGATAAATGTGACAGTACGGGAACAATAATATATTTTCTTATCGAAAAATGATATCGCTAGTGACATTCGTTTGTCTCGCAATGTACGGTCAACAAGGGATCTAAAAGATCACGACGTTTCGTGTGCCGCTGCTACACTTCGTCAGGTGATAATATATATTGCAAGCAAG